GGGTGACAGCGTCCCCGGTCCCTCAGGAGCACTTGAGGATGAAGAGATTGCAGGTGGTGCTGCGGGGGCAGCTGCAGAGCTTCCCAATCCGTGCCCCCCTCCGCACTGCACAGGGCTCCCCGGGCTCGCACTGTGGGATGGCAACCGTCAGCCCTGGGGCTTTCCCCCCCCCAGCGCTGGACCCCCACCACCGGCACCCAAGGGGTCTAGCTCCATGAGCACCCACCACCCCCAGCCCCGCCGTACCAAGGGCACCCAGCTCAGCCTCTTCTCCACTGCTGGCAGACCCTGGCTCCCCACAACACCTCCTGCAGCGCCTCGACCTGCCAAAAACAGCACCAAGGGCCTCCAGATCTGCATCACCCCAAAGGCCCCTGGACTCCTAAGGGATCCACATCATGTTAACTCCTCCAAGACACTGGTGCTGGATCCCATCCCACTCACGAGCAGCACCCATCCCACAGGCTGCATACTGGGGTGTAACCACTGCTCCAGACTCCCCCAGTGTGACTTGAGGTCAGTCCCTAGTGGAAGGGAATTGGGGGGGGGGTGCATCCCACCCATCGGGTGCAGTCTCGCATCCCCTCCCCAGCACCCAGCACCCACCACCCACTCCCACCCAGGGCAGCCGTTGGGGGAGAACAGGGAAGGAAAACCAGGAAGAAGCTGCAAATTCCCAGGTGCTCGATGTCCTGGTGTCCCCAGGAGAACTGCTGCGAGGACCTCCCCTAAATGCTGTGATGGAAAACCAGCAGCGAGGCCTCAGTCTCCCCAGCACCCCAGGGACACCCTGACACAGCCAGAACCAGCCCCAAACCAGGGCAGCAGGAGCAGGAGCACCCCAAGGTGCCTCAGAGCCATGCAGGGGGTTCTGGTGGCCCTGTCCCTCCAAAAAGCATAAATCCCAGCCTCTTACCAGCTCCATCTCCTCCTGGCTCTGCCCGGGCAGGCTCTGGGGGCGTTGGAGCCCCGGTACCGGCTCTGTGGTGCTGGACAGGATGAGGCCAGAGCCGGCCAGGCAGAGGATGCAGAGCCAGGCACTTCCCATGCTCCTGGTGCTGGATGCGCCCCTGGATGCCGAGGGATGGGTCCCTGGATGCTCAGGGATGCACTGCGCTCAGGTGGATTTATAAGACCCCGTTCTCTGCCCCCCCCGGCGCCCACTGTCATGGGCAAACACCCGCTGACGCAGACGGGGAGCGAGCGCCCAGGGGGTGCGTGTGTGCCCCCCCAGACCTCACCAGTGACATCAAACCGGATGAGGAGGACACGTCCCTGGGAGACGCATCCCCTGGGACACGCGTGGTCGGGAC